TTAAATTTCATCTTAGTAAAAAACACTAAATTAATTGTGTAAATATATATATATATATATTAATGTTTGAAAATTAACTACTTTTTTAATAAAAATTAGTGAAATTTTGAAATACTCTAACTCCAGTCATTCACGGATAAATAACGAAATACACAATTAGCAGTAATATTGTGAAATGTATTAACATTTCACAATATTACTGCTAATTGTGTATTTCGTTATTTATCCGTGAATGACTGGAGTTAGAGTATTTCAAAATATAGTTAGAGTATTTCAAATAAGTCTTAATAAAATTTACCGGTAACTTTTCCTGTAAATTTACCAGTAAATTTTGAGATTTTTAAAATGGATTCATTTTTTCATAATTCATAATTTCAAACTTAACTGACGGTTCTTTGAGTTCTAAAAAATGTCCTGCTTGTGACACTTTTTTTGGAGATAAAATTTCAGCTCAACGACAATTATTGGTATGTTGCAAATCCTGTGGCGATTGATTGTGTGAATCTTGCTGTTTTACTATGATCAACGATACGTACAAGAATTGCCAATAAACATACAAAGCTTATATAAAACAAAGTAGAGTTTTTTTTTAATTTAAAAAGGTTTTTTCAATTAATGTAAAAAACCTTTTTAAATTAGTTGAAAAATATTTTTTAAACTTTATTAACCTGTAGCGTAACAAATGTGATAATTGCCAAAGTAATAAAATAGTTGACTAATTACAATAAATATTAAAAATGCTACTACTTATATTTAAAAAGACCATTTTATATGTGCTCCTTGTTTTTTTCTTTAGGGCCCTAAAAGACGTTTTTTTATAGTTCGGGGCGATACCCTCCTTAGTTACTAGTATTACCTGAATTTATATCGTAATTTTACCATTTAACAACATTTAAAAATTAGTTTTCATTACTTGTGATGTTAAGTTTGTGATACGTTATTAGTACCGAACTTATGAGATGGTATTGAAAATTTGGTCAAAGTAGATGTTTTCTACTTTGACCGAACTTTCAAAAAATAAATTTTTTTATTTATGCGTGATAAATCCTATATATATACTCAATATTTTATTTAAAATGAAAACATCTAATTTTACAGAACTTTCAATACAATCTCATAAGTTCGGCCGCTAAATAAATACTAATAACGTATCACTTAACTTAACGTCACAAGTAATGAAAACTTGTTTTTAAATGTTGTTTTATTGTAAAATTATGATATAATTTTTAGGAAGCCGTCACCCCGAGCTCAAAAAAAAAGTCTTTTTGGGCAACAAAAAAAACAACAAGGACCACATAAAAAAAAACTTTTTAAATTTAAGTAGTAGTATTTTCAGTTTTTATTTTAATCAGTCAACTATTTTATTACTTTGGCCATCATCACATTTGCTACGCCACTGGTTAATAAAATTAAAAATATATTTTTCAATTAATTTAAAAAGGTTTTTTCAGTTAAGGAAAAAACACTACTTTGCTTTAAATGAGATTTGTATGTTTATAGGCAATTCTTGCACGTTGACCTTAGTAAAACAGCAAGATCCACGCAACCAATCGTCACAAGATTCGCAAGGCACCCATAATTGTCGTTGAGCTGTAATTTTATCTCCGAAGAAAATATCGCAAGCTGGACATTTTTTAGAACACAAAGAACCGAGTTAATTTTGAAATTCTGAACAAATTTTGGTGTGTATCTATTATAAAAATGTCAAAATTTACTGGTAAATTTACAGGTAGAGTTACCGGTAAATTTTACATTCGCAACACTTATCAACATTTCACAATATTACTGCTAACTTTCCCTTTTGTTGTTTAAATTAAAAGTGAATTAAAAATAACTAATTTTCAAAAACTAATAATTTTTTTATTTTAAATATAATTAATTTGGTGATTCTTAATAATACTAAGATTAAATTTGATCATTTATTTTAATAATATGCTTATTTTAGATTTTAATAGTTTACATTTTTTCAAATTGTTGTTTTGCTAAAAAATTTCATTTCTCGTGTACTTTTTATTAACGTCGAAAAATACGCAGGTCTGGTTTCAGGATTTTTCTCGGAACCAACACGTATTTATTTCGATCATCCCTTACACGAAATAACTATACATTAACTATTTCTTCTACAGAAGTTTGGATATTGTGACAACTTAAGGTGAGCTACAAGTGTAAAATGTCATGTTTTGATGGGATAATGGGTAATTTCAAAACCCGTTACATTTTTATTATAAATGACTTTGAGCAAAGCAGCTAGTCAAACTTGAGCAGCAGTAAAAACTAATTTAAAATAGTTTTTATATGTCTATTTTGAATTTAGATGAAGTGTTTAAGGACTTTCCTTCTCGTATACGATTCTTTTACAAACTTTTCATATTTTCATCTTAAACTGACTGATCATTTTTCTAATCTTTAAAGAAATGCGCTAAACAATTTTCCTTAAAAAAACAATTTACCCGTATTAACTCAAATCCAACTTTTTTTTAAATGTTAGCATTAAAATTTTAACTTGTCAATATAAGTTAAAAATTAAAAAAAAAATTAAATGACTTTGCGCACATTCCTTTTTGCAAAAATTATGTACATAGTTTTTTTTTTGTTTTATAAGTTTGGGCCTCGCTTTACAGAGAAACATTAATTGCAATTTTTTATGCAGAATTATTAAATAAAATTATATTGGAAACTAAAGTCTAGGCAGGTAGAAAAACCTGCTTAGGCACTTTTTATTACTTTTTCAGCTGAGGCACCTTATATTACTATTTAAATATCATTTCATTAATAAAGTATCATTAATAAAGCAAACCTTAATAAGTAATATATATATATATATATATATATATATATGTATATATATATATATATATATATATATATATATATATATATATATATATATATATATATATATATATATATATATATATATATAGAATTTTAGTCTTCTAAAATTCTCTTATTTAAATAATTTTGCATTGAAATTTGAAATAAATAAAAAAATTTGAAAAATTTTAACACTCAATAATTTAATTGCAGCGGTATAATTTAATTGCAGTGACATCTGTAATACCCAGTGGCATAGCAAGGATCATTCCTAAAAGTTAAACGCATATCTAGCTACAGTAACAATACTAGACTTAAAACATGGTGCAAGTAAGGAAGAAAGTTTAAATCATAAACATTTTGAATAGTTAAATATATTTTGTTTTTTGAAAATGTTTTTAAAGTAGAAACATTATATTGTAAACATTTAACCAGCAATTATTGCAAACATTAAAGCAAAAATTAAAATATAAAAAATTTAAATTTAAAAAAATTTTACTTTAATTTTAATTTCAAGAAATTTTTTTCTAAAAAAATAATTTAAGCATATATTAGGCATGTATATTTAAGGATATATAATTCAATTTATAAGACCAATTTTTTTTTCACTTTTTGTTGCAAAATAATTTGAATAAAGAAATTAAATGAAAACATCGATTTTAAAAAATCATTTAAATGAAAAAATTAATTATACTTAAACTTTTAATAGTATGTTAGATCAAGAAACAATTAATTATAAAAAGCCTGGTTTCTAACATTTTTTTGCTTTGATCTTACTTGTTTGGTCTAAAGATTATAGTCTCTTATAATACACAAATATAAAGTTTTAGAATAATTTATTTATTTACTTTCTATTTATTTACTTTGTTTTATTTTAAACGCGTCTTATGTTATTAATGTTATAAACTGTATAAAACAGCAAATTTTTTGAATGAATTAAATAATTTTATATAACTAATTAAAATGGTTTAAATATTGTAATATTTATGACAACCACAACTCCGTAGTGTACCAATTTAAATAAATTGAAGTGTATAATAACTACAAATATAACTACAATGAACCTGATACAATCCTTTCACCTGAACCTCTCCATCCTAAAAGATCTCAAAGCTTTTCTACTCTCTCAAAAAATCCTAATGGAATTTCTATTGAAGAATCAGTCTCTCATTGTTCAGGAAGATCCTGGAATCCTCCTAAATATCTAAATGTCTTTATTTAAATTATTTGAACTTATTTAACTATATTGATTTATTTAGTATGGTAGAAAATGCCGATTCCTATTATTGTTATTATCCTTGTTGAGTTTTATATGTGTAAGCAAAAACTAACCTGTTTATATATTATAGTTTACATATTATTATATGAAGAATAGAGCTTTCTATGTTGGCTTAGAATTAGTTATAGACTTATGAATTCACTGCACTACAGGGTATCATATTCTTCAATAAATGCTAAAAAATCTTGACAATGAATGACAATTTGAGAATACTTTTGGTTTCCTGAATCTATGAAAGTTGTAACCATGTCTGAGTGAAATGATCAACAAGTCTCTTTCCAAGCTTCTCAAAATTTTCATTGATATTTGTCTTTAAAATTTTAACATTAGTAGATCCTCTAATTTTGGTTGTTAATTTTATTACTCTCAAATGTCTCAAATGAACCTGTCTTGAGTTGAATCTGATCCAAATCATTTGCTGTGATGACAGGCTTATCAGCAAAAAGCCTTCACGCACTAAATGAAATACCTAAGATTAAATCAGAAAAAATATAAATTGAAACATTCTTTTTTGTTAGATAAGGTGATCTATCATTTTACCTGGTGTTAGAGCCAAAGGTTTGCCTCCTGTTGTATATATCAGTCCTACAGTTCCATATTGAAAAGCTTCTTTGCTATTAATTGCAGAGCAAGCAATTTGTTCAGCAACTTTTGAATCTTTAGTTGCCAACATATGTTTCCATCAAAGAGCTTAAAACAAACCTACTTCTTGCGATACATGCTGCATGAGGTTTAGCATTTTAAGATGGCAAATTTAGAGTGAAAAAGTGAATTTTTAGAACTAAGTTTGTTTTAATTTTAAATATTTGTAAAAATTTTCGGAATTAATTTTCTACACCAGTTTTCACTAGAAAGGTAGTATGTCAACCATGCTGCAATGCAAAATTGCATTGCAGCATAAAACTGCCGTTTTATAATTGACTGTAAAGTTAAAAATAAAAACACAATTTTTTTCTAATGGATATAATCAAACCATTTACTACAGATAATATTAAAAACAAAAACAAAAAATTTTGTTTTTCTTATTTATGAAGTAATTGTTGATCCAACAATTAAATTAAAGCTTTTTTAAAATTTAAAAAAAATCGCTTACTTTATATCTCCAGAACTAGTTTAGAAGACTTGGTATCTTTTTGCATCACAGTATCGGTATAATTTTTTTGTTTGCTTGTGTTTGTTGGCCAATTTAATCAATTATAAATAATATTTTATTAATCAAATTAACAATAGTTAAAAATCCAGTAAATTGTTATTATATACTTTCAATTAATACCATTTGTATTTGTGCATGTTTACAAATAATTTCTGTATATATTAACATTTCAGCATGCATACTGTTTTAAGTCGCCTGAATGTTGTTTTTGCATATTGTCTATCAGTTTTGGGTGCTATCACAGTAGGCTGCTTTTTATCTACATATATACTCTTGCCTTATCATGAGCCCAATGTGTCTTATGCTGTCAGCAAGCAACTTGTGTAAGTTTTTTTTTGAAAAGTGTTTATTTATTACTCTTTTATTATTATTATTATTATTATTATTTTAAATTTCTTTTAATATTTAAAAAAAAAATTTCTCATTGATTATCTTTAAAGTATATAGTAAAGTATTGTTTTTTAAAAAGTAATGTCATCACATGCTTTTATTTTTTATTTTCATTACAATAGCTATGATAACAGAACTTTAAAAAAATATGTAACAATTTTCCATCAAGCAGTTAAAAATATAGCGTACTTTATTAAGACAATCATTTTTTTTTTTGCTTTTAAATGAAATAGCAAAAATAAAAGTATAGTTTTAAGGTAATTTTTCAAGTTTCTCTTTAAAAGAAAAAGTATAATTTCAGCTGATGGAAATATGTTTAAAAGATTTTGAAGTTAAAAACAGTAAGATCTATGTATTGTTGTAGATAATAATTCAAATGTGATAAACACATTTTAAAAAATGAATAAAGATAACAAGAATACATTTTCAAATAAGGAGAATGAAATTTTCATTGATTTTCAAACCAAACATAAAGAATGAATGACTGAAGGTGACCTAAATTTTTGAATAAGCTACTTAAAAATCTGTACTTTTTTGAAATAAAATTTTGTTTATAAGTTGTTTTATTTGTTAACTAAATAGTTTTGTTTTAAGTTTTAATTATTTAACAAAACACCTTAAAAAAAAAAAGCTTTAAATTCTGTCAAAAGTGCTAACTTGCCTTTACTGTATTATATATTTTTAAAATTTTTAACACTTCTTGTAAATAATATTTTAAAAGCAACTGAAGCAAGGTAACTCTTTTTTACACACATGATTTAAAAAGTTTATTTTACTTATCTTTTTATTTATTTACAAGATTTTTTAAAAAAAGGTTTTTTCTCCTTGAAAATATTTATAAATATATATTTAAAGCTGCAAACCAAATCTGATCAAAAAATATTTGTATTACATATTTGTATAAAAGTGGGACTACCTGGTTTTAAGAATTACTGTATTGGTTTCATATAGGTTATAGGCTTTAGGTTTGAAAATTATTGAACCATAAATAGACAATTATAGTTAGATATGTGAATCAATTCTGGCGAGAAAATGAGAACATTTTTTTCTGGAAAATTAATTTCTACCATAAAAGATTTATGAACTTCTATGTTCAAAGATAGCATGTTATTATTATATTTTCAATTCAGTGTGATATTTTGTATAGTTTCTTGTCAACGCAAAATTAAAATTGAATTTTCTTTTTTGTATCTAATAAATTAATTAAGTTATTTTAACTAAAAAAATGTTTCAACTTTAAGTATTTATTAAAACACACCAATTTTTCAAAAATGAAAATTAGAACTCAGTCCATAAAGTTATTTAACAAAAATTATTTTTTTATACCTGGCAAACAAAATAATATTTTTAAAAAGTCCTCAATCAGTTTTCTAAGATTTCTCAATCAATAGTTATGGGGTAATTGAGTATCAAATGTTACCATAAATCTCAGATTTTGCTGATTTTTATAGAGTTAAAAGTGTTTAGTAAAATAAGAATTCCTTGAAAATTTTAGCCTCTGGCCCCAAAATGATCGTGAAATATGACCGTTTTACTTTTAGATATTGGACAGGCTCTCTTGTCCCATCAAAATTGTAAAAGGTTTCAAGTCATATAACTTTGAAATTATTTGATTTTTTTAGTTAAAAATTTGTAAAATATCATTATTAAGTACCTATAATTATTAATTCAAATAAGTTTAGGCAATTTTTTATATACCTATTTTTAATGCTCAAGAAACCCATGTGGTTGTGATGGTTTTAAAGAATATATCTTTCAAAAAGTATAAGGATTTTGATCTGCAAGTATATGGATTTTCATGTATGGATAACAGGGCATGGTCCCCACTTTTTTTTAAGCGGAATATTGCGATTGATAGTTTACTCCCTTCCAGACAAGCTCCAGCTTGTCTGGAAGATTTTTGACATTTTTGACATTTCTGTAGTGTCAATAATTGTGGATGTTAAAATTGTTTTCAAAGCCCTAATTGTTTCTTTTTGATTTATGCTTATTTGCTAAATTACAACATTTTGTGTTTCTTTTTAAAATTAGTACCAAAAATCTTTTTACGGTGAAGGCAGATTGTAAAAATATTATCTGTTATTCCAGATGTTTTCTAGCATCTTCTTTATAACAATCAAATCTCTTTAACTCATTCTTTCTACAATGAATTAGTTTATGAAAAAGTATCATATAACAACTTTCCAAAATCACATGAATCCATTCTTACTGTAAAACTAAATACTAATTTAATTTTTTTTAATTTTTGATAAAGCAAAAATAACTAAGTTGCATTTCAGATTAAATAAAAAAACGAGAAACCAATAGTAATTAATATAATTAAAGTAACTTAAAACATTATTGTAATGGTAAACAGTGATTGATTTCTTTTTTTTCTTTTTTTTTTTTTGAATGTAAAAGATTTTTTGTCTCTTTAACAAGTTTAGTTGTATTTAAATTATTAAAATTTAAAAAAGTTAATGATGAATTTAATAGGTAATAAACTTCTTCTATACTAATGTAATAACAGGATGTTTTTTTGTTACTGTTAACTGTTCTTAATAAAAGTTCTCAATAAAACAATTTGCTATTAACTTTTTAGAATTAGTTAAAATTAAATAAAATAGTGATTTCAAAAGGTGATAAATTTCTTTTATATTGATATAATATTACGACAGGATGTTTTTTTACTATTAGATTTTAGTTCATTAAACAACTTTCTGTTAACATTTTAGTTCATTAAACAACTTGCTGTTAACATTTTAGTATTAAAAAAAATATCAACTTTTTTCAACTCAAAAAGTTTTAAACTATACAATGCAGAGTCATTAACAAGGCCTAAAATAGCAAGAGCAAGGTCAAAAGTTATGAGTCCAAGGTCAAGAGTTTTAAGGTCAACGCCAAGAATAAGAGTTTTAAGGTCAAGGCCTACCCAAACATTTTCAAGACCAAAGACTTATATTTTGTGTCTTATGTCAAAGCCAACTATTAACAAAACTGTAGGTTACAGTTGCTGTGATAATGTTGTAAAATATTGTAAAAACAAACCAAGGTTATGCACAGAATTCTACAAAGTCAATAAGAAAACATAATTGTAGATATATATGAAAGCTGAAAACAAAAATACATAAAAATAAAGAATGAAAATTTTTAATTATTTAATTTTATGTATTTTTTTTGAAGGCTAAGGCCAAGGCCAACAGTTTAAAGGCCAAGACCTGGGCCTTAATTTTTGGCCTTAAGGCAATGCCAAAGTCCAGGACTAACAACTCTGATACAAAATTATGTTAAAGTCATTATTTTAGAAGAATTACTGTTTTTAATTTACATGCTTGATTAAAAATCTTTTAAATTTATGTATATATATGATATATATGATCAAAAACTAAATAGAACAAATATAAACCAAAATAATTTTTTGAAGACAATTATTTCAAAGTTATCTTTACTTTATAGAAAATGCAAAAAAAAAAAGTTTAAAAAAAAGTGGGGCATGGCCCCAGGGTCCCAGTCTTATGGTCATCTGCTCTGGAAACAATTTTAAATTTAATCAGGACTACACAAATCCTGAAAGATTAAAAAATAATTACCAGTAAATTTTAAATCAAAAAGAGTAAATTTTTCTTAAAAAAAAAAGAAAATAAGTGAAAAAAAAATTTCAAAATTTACTAGGCCGTTATTTTTCAAAGTTTTTTGGTATATATAGATTTTTGGTATAATATAGAATAATGTGTAATAGTCTTTATTTTGATACCATATGTTTCTTAAGCATCAAAATCAGATATATAAAAAATTGCATAAATTTAATAAATTAATATATACAGGTACTTATAATTGTTTTTTATATTTTTGATCATTTCATCTTATTCACCACCCAGGTAAAATAGCCAGGTAAAAATTTTTAAGTATCAAATATTTAAAAAATTATGTAGTTTGAAACATCTAATTAAATGTTGCAATTCTGAGGGGACAAGTGGGGCTTGGCCATCATCTGTTAAAAGTAAAAGGGTCATATTTCAGAATCTTCTAGAAACCAGAGACTAAAATTTTTAAGGAATTTTTATTTTACTAGGTACTGTCAACTGTATAATAATTTAAAATATAGGGTGACATTTTAAAAAATTTCCGGGTCATAGCTATTTAGGCCCATTGTTTGCAGGTAAAAAAAAGTTTTTTTTGTACTTTTAAAATAATTAAATGTTTTTATACTGAGATTACTTCAAAAAGTGATAATGATTATTTTTAACATTGTAGAAAGCATGTTAGAGACTTTACAGCTGTTCGAGCAAAGAATGATATGGGTTTTTTAAAATTTAATTTAAAGTCAGGTATGTTCTATTTTCAAAAACATTTTTAAAATTTATTTTTTTGCTTAAAAATTGTTAAACAGTTTTGTAATTTTTTAAACCAGATTTGGAACCATTGTTTAATTGGAATGTAAAGCAACTCTTTCTCTACTTGACTGCAGAGTATAAAACCAAAAGTAATGTAAGTTTAAAAGATGCCAAAAACAATATATATATATATATATATATATATATATATATATATATATATATATATATATATATATATATATATATATATATATATATATATATATATAAACAGATCTCAGCAGGAGTAAATGAGTACATGAGCAGTGAATTACCTGTCTAAAATAGATATGGTGTGCGATGTTTTCAATATGCATTTTTGTGGCCTTTTTTGATATTTAGATAAAAAAATCTCATGGATAAAATAGAATTGATTTAGAAATAGTTTTTTAAGTTTTACACTATTATGTTATTACAATATTATGTATCATACAAATACATCAGAAAACCAATTATCAGAAACAGTCATAAATATTAGAAAATTGTTTTTCTGATATTTATTCAAGCATTGTAACGTTTTCTAGAAAATTTTTTAAAAAGAACGTCACATTTGACAAAACTCTGTTTTAATATATAATTAAATCGCTTTTATATTCTACCAATCTACTGTTTTATAAATATTATTTTGCCTTGTATATTTTCTTACTTTCAATTTAAAAAGTTCCTTTGTTACTTTTCTTCTTTGTGAAACTTCTAATTTGATAAGTTTAAAAACTGCTTTGAAGTAGCCCCAAGCGAGAGAGCAAGTAGTTATAATAATTTTTTAAATTAAAACTTGAATGAATGAGTTTGATACTTTTAAAGTTGATTTTGTGTTATGTAATTCCAATTTAAACGAACAAATTTTTATAACAGTTTATTAATAACAATTTAATTTTAAGTTTTAATTAAGCTAGTATCTATTTTTTTTCACTTTGATTAAATCATAATCGATTAAGTTAAAAACCTAACTATATATAAAGTATTGCATGTTAAAAACTATATTTTATTTTTTAAAAATTTAAAATGTAAAATTTAAATAACTTTTGTTACAGTTTTTTTAATATGCTTTTTAATGAAATTCCTATACTGGTCATTTGGACTTATCGAGTTTAATTTAATAATTAATAATTACATTAAAACGTTAAAAAAAAAATCTTTAATTATGAACTTTCTTTATCTTAAAGGCCCTCACAAAAATGTAACAATGAAAAACATTTTATTTTTAAATATACTTATGTATTTATATAATGCAATCTTTTATTTTAAATGCGCTTTTTTAAATTATTTTTGTTTATGTAAGTAAAATACAGCTCCATCAAAAAAAAATTAAATTATGCTGTTTAAAAATAAGAAATTATTTTTATATGTATTTTAGTATGAGCTTTATATTTCGCCTGTGTAAACCGACTTACACGGGTGTGGAGGCAGGCGCTCGTCAATCCTGCTGAGGCCTATATATATAAATTATAAGTTTTATTCAAGTACATTTATGAATAATGTCAGATTTTGAACACTGTAAAAAATATTTATATCTGTTGTATTAAAAAATGTTTCTTAAAACCCTTGTTTTTTTATGTTTTTTGTCATGAATTTTCAAAGCTTATTTAATGAATTATAAATCTCAACAATTTTTATTTTTACAAATGCAATTAACTTCCCCAATGCCGAGTGGGCCACTACAGTCAAAAAGGCTACTTTATTGTGATGGCAACCTCTCTCAACTGTTTAATTCTGGTACACGAACCTTGATGAATAAAGCGCTGTGCAGAGAAACAAGTTAAGCTTAGTACTACTATAGATGTGGTGAGGATCAAACTCAGAACTTCTTCCTTATGAATGAAACTTAGAACTTATGTTTATTAAGAATAACCACTACTGTAATTAAATTATTGTTTTAAACGGCATATAAGAAATCTGAAAAATTAAAAACAAAAAAAGACATTTTAAATGAAGGCTCAAAATGGTATTTGTTTTTTGACATAATATATTAAACAATTTTAGAAAGAGTGGAGAATTTTAAATGGTTATAATTTTTATTTTGAATTCATAATTTTTGTTGTTTTAAAAAAATTGCATTTTAGCCTTCAAGATAATGGGTAATGTGTAAGTTATCGGACAAAATAAAAACATCTATATCTTATTTATAAATTAAAAAAACAATTAGTTATATATTTTTTTAAATAATGCATTTATCTTTTAATAAAAATCAGTTTCTTTTATGAAAAAACACGATCATCTGCAATTGTTCTCAATTTTGCTTTCATACTTTTTATAAGTGACTGTAAAAAATTTAAATCAATTTCTTGCAGTTTTAATTTAATGCAATCAATCAAAACTTGCTCTAATGAAGCTTGCCAATCTCCCTCGTTAACCATCTGTGCCAAATGTCCCAAAAAGTTTTCAATAGTCATGCTTGAGGCACATTTGATTGGGTTATATTCTTTATCAACATAATTGACATAATCATCCATCCAATTTAAAGAATCTTTAGAATAATGAGGGCTTGTTTAATCTGGGCAAAATAAATTTGTGAAGTCTCCACTATACTTGAGAATGAACAGATGTCATTATTCTAAGTATGAAACAATGGCTCTGACATACCACAGTCAGATATGGTTATCTACATTAATAATATTTTTGGAAATTTATTTTTTCCTATAGAACAAACACTTTCTGGACATTTTTTGTTATTGTTTGTGTAATATCCAGAATTTGTATGTCACCTGCTAAACAAAAGTTCACCATTGATGACCAAAAATTTTTTTTATAGAACTACTTAACTAGTTTCCTTTTTCAAATTGCCTTCAAATTGTTGTTTTACACCAAATTTATAACTTATTTTTCTCTAGCTGACCACTTTTTGATTGTTGACAAGTCTTATTAATTTGGCTTTATTTTCTCCAAATTTATAACTTATTTTTCTCTAGCTGACCACTTTTTGATTGTTGACAAGTCTTATTAATTTGGCTTTATTTTCTCCAAATTTATAACTTATTTTTCTCTAGCTGACCACTTTTTGATTGTTGACAAGTCTTATTAATTTGGCTTTATTTTCTCCAAATTTATAACTTATTTTTCTCTAGCTGACCACTTTTTGATTGTTGACAAGTCTTATTAATTTGGCTTTATTTTCTCCAAATTTATAACTTATTTTTCTCTAGCTGACCACTTTTTGATTGTTGACAAGTCTTATTAATTTGGCTTTATTTTCTCCAGTCCAGGAAGTTGGATGACCAGAGTGTTTTCAGAAAATGATTAAACAGTTTCAATCTTTTTAAGTCATCATATATTGTACTGTGAGCAAATCCTTCTTTTTTGTAATGATTTACAACTTCACTTTTTTTAATTTAAAGTTTATTTTAAAAAAAACATTCTGAGTTGCTTTCAAAACAATTCTTGTTCATTTAATCTAATTTTAAATAATTTTGTTTTAAATAAATTTATTTCCTAGAGCATTTATGACTATGCATAAAACCACTAAAACAAATTAATTTGCTTGAATAATTAAATTCAGATTTGTCTGATAACTTCGGCATCACTATTAAGACTATTAAAAGAAGGTAACACTAAACTTGCATGTTAGGTTGCCATGACAATTGCTAGAGCAGAGCCTAGTGGAAAGAACATTATTTCATTTATTTACATCAAGTAAAAATTTACAATTTAAAAATGATTTTTAACATGATTATAAATTATAAAATACTAAATAATACTCAATAAAAATTTAGAAAAGATGGCATTTATTGCTAATGACAATTTCTCTTCCACAGAACTTGAAAAAGAAAAAATCACAAGTAACCTTGTAAAAAAAAAAAAAAAAAAAAGCATATTATTAAAAAAAATAGATTAAGAAATCTTGATTAACAACAAATTCAATTATGTTGAATTTGAATTTTAAGCTGTGTTGGCTCATCCAACTCTTGTAAAATGGTTTCAGAACATCAAAAATGGTTTCAGAGCATCATATTGTGATAGGAAATAGAGAATCTTATAAGATTTGCTTTATAGAAAGAAAAAAATTAATTTTCTTCAAGATCAAGTATAGTATTGGATATTAAAAAATATATATATATCTTTTTCCAACTGATGTTGAAACATAAATGCACACTTTTTAAAATAATCATTGGATAAATATCAAGAGCTCTTGTGATGCTTAGAAATGATTTGTTCTTGTGATGGTTAGAAATGATTTGTTCTTGTGATGGTTAGAAATGATTTGTTCTTGTGATGTTTAGAAATGATTTGTTCTTGTGATGTTTAGAAATGATTTGTTCTTGTGATGCTTAGAAATGATTTGTTCTTGTGATGGTTAGAAATGATTTGTTTTTGTGATGCTTAGAAATGATTTGTTCTTGTGATGCTTAGAAATGATTTTTTCTTGTGATGCTTAGAAATAATTTGTTCTTGTGATGCTTAGAAATAATTTGTTCTTGTGATGCTTAGAAATGATTTGTTCTTGTGATGCTTAGAAATGATTTGTTCTTGTGATGCTTAGAAATGATTTGTTCTTGTGATGCTTAGAAATGATTTGTTCTTAGGAAAAAAAAGTTTTTGTTTGTGTAGAGATTTAAGCTTACATTTGTTTGTTCTTCCCCAAATAAACCATAACATAAGTGATTGTGAATGAGAAATATTGAGTTGAGTTAGCTGAGTTAGTGTGGTGTTTCTCAAGTTTATATTGTTTTTATATTTAGCAAAATCTCTCCAGTTTTTCATAAAATAACAGATTTATATAATATTTATATTATGTATATTAATAACAGATTTTCATAAAATAATAGATTTGTTTATGTTACTATGTTATAAGGTTATTATCTGTTCTTTGGTCATCTTCTTATTGTAAAATTCTTGCAATAAACATGAACTTTGGTTATTTAGTTATTGTTTGCTGTAAAATTTTGGTGTTTATTCACTTATATACTTTGATATTATTACATCATAGATTTACTTACCTATTTATTTTAGAAGTGTAATGACTTAAACTAAAACTAGATTATAAAAGTAAAGGTTAAATGAATTATAAAAGTAAAGATTAAATTTTTTCGAGCATTAAATGGCTCAAAAAAAGGAACCTTTAAAAAAAAAGAGCCTTAAAAGGACCTTAAATGACTTGAAACCTCTCATGCAAATGCACTTAAGTTTAAATAATCACTTAGTGTATTTCTTTTTTTTTTCTGTTTTAATATTTTACAATTGTTGTTATTATTGTTTTTATTTTATCATCATCATCATTATCATCATTATTAGCTTGGCGTCATTCCTTTATTAGGATTTTTGCTTGAGTGGCATCGACCTCATTTACTTATTGTTGTTTTTATTCACTTATCATAAAAGTTATTTTTTAATATCGTTATATTGCTTTTACAACTTTTTTTTAAGCTTAATGTGTTGTTTGTCAGTCAAAATTATGGGATTGATTTTTTACTACTTTTCAAACTAGCTAGAGCTCTGAAACCTTCAAAATTAATGAATTCCTGATAAAATTGCATGTTAATGTTGTTTCTAGGGCTGGCAACACCAGAGGGACTGGGAATGGCTGTTGACAAGTACCCTGGCATCAACCTGTTGGTTAATTTGTTTGTTCAACAGATACCCGGGAGGCCTTTTCACAAATTTTGATATCAGTTGATCCAAAATTGTGTTCCGATTTTTCCATACTTTTAGACTTTACGATTAGGAATTTCTGGAACTTTTAGAATTAGTGTTCTAATAGCAGTGCATGTTAAAATTATTTCCAATGACTGGTTTTTTATTTTTATAACGAAATTTTTTTTAAAAAAAACCTTATAGCACATGTTAAAACAGTTTTCAGCTTTTATGGTTTTGTTTTTTAAATTATGAACCATTTTAATATTGCTGTGGAGTTTATTTATAGGTTTTTTGCATATTCTTACATATGTTTTATCTTTTAAAAAGAGTTTTAAAAAGTTCAACATTATAAGTATTTTTATTAGGAATTAAACCAAGTTGTATTATGGGACAAAATCATCAAGCGTGGTGAAAATGCATACTTAGATCTTCAAGACATGAATAGCAAATATTATTTTTTTGATGATGGCGCTGGTTTAAAGTAAGTTCAGATTTTTAATTTTAATATTTTACTGAATTTACTGATTATAATTTTATTAATTTATGCTGGTTTAAAGTAATTTACAGAATTTTTTTACATATACCAATGATTTGGACAGAAAATTACAGTATGTTTTTTATCATTTTTTTGATGTTAAACTACATAAATGTAATGTGCAAATAAATTTTAAACTTACACACAAAAAAAAAAAGAAAAAAGAAAAGCTGAAATATCTTGAGTGAACTCTTGTTTTTTAGTTCCAATCCCAATTCTAATTCTTTTTTTGCAATATAAAATAGGCTGCAATATAAAATATGTTGAACCAGTATGTAGCTAATAGTTGAGCTTCTAATTTGTAATAGCTGGTTCAACTGAGTCTTTGAAGGATGGTATTGGTTTGGTATTTATCCAGCAAACTCTCCATGCTTGGTCTTTGCTTGGGCTATCATCAAATTTGGACAATTTAAATTAAGTTTTCTCAAAAACCACTTAATCAATTTTAATGATTTTTTTAATATATAATGTTAATTATATATTAAAAAATTTACACAATTACTTCTCATTAGTTTTTGCAATGTCAAGTAAAAAGTCTAAAAGTCTAAATAAAATTTTGAAATTTTACATAAAAAAAATTTCTCATATTCTATTGTTCTCATATTCTATGATTTCAAAAACATTTAAAGTTCTAAAATCAACTGTTGGAATTGTTATAAAAAGTTATAAGGAAATAAAAACCTTTCTTATATTCTATTGTTCTCATATATTCTCAAAAAAATTTCTCATATTCTATTGTTCTCATATTCTATGATTTAAAAAACATTTAAAGTTCTAAAATCAACTGTTGGAATTGTTATAAAAAGTTATAAGGAAATAAAAACCTTTCTTATATTCTATTGTTCTCATATATTCTCAAAAAAATTTCTCATATTCTATTGTTCTCATATTCTATGATTTAAAAAACATTTAAAGTTCTAAAATCAACTGTTGGAATTGTTATAAAAAGTTATAAGGAAATAAAAACCTTAAACAGAAAATCGGAAATTGGTGGAAAATCAAGATTTATTTCCAAAAAGAAGGCATTATCAATAGTTGACTCAATTCATCCAAACCTGACTCAGTCACAACAAGATTTAGCTACAAAGTTTAAATGCATAAATTTTTAAATAAAAAGCATAGATCTTTCATTCAAAGAGTATTCAAAATTAAAAATTTGAAAACATATTACAAGAAAAAAATACCAAAAAGGTCGATTAAAGTAAAGTTGTGGAAATGATGGCAGGTACTTTACAAAAAATTAAATTACTTGCACGTCTTAAAGTTAAGGGTTAATTTATTTTTGTTGAAATAAAAAAAAATTATGTAAGCATCATTATAAAAAAAATCATTCCAATTGATTAAGTGCATAGGGCAACATCATTTTATCCAATATATCAACATATACTTGTTAGTCCATAATAGTAGTGGCCAATTTGAGTGTTTTTTAGCAAACGCAGTATACTTTTAATCAGGCTTTTATTCCATTAACTTGCAGACAACTCCAAACTGTTTGTACTGTTGCATCTATGTTAAAGTCCTTTTCAGCTCGGTAGTTATTTTAAAAGGTTTTTTTTTAGCCTGTCTGACTAAGTAATTGGCCAGCAATGTTGAAATAGAACGTTTTTGACCACATGTTTCAGACTTTTCTTGAAATTTTATGGCATTTCTTATCATTTTATAGGAACACTTAACTAAACGACCAACTTCTCTATAAGATTTCTCTGCTGATTCTCTGCATTACAATGCTTTCCACGTCCCATTTTTATATGTAAATGTCTCCTACTAATATGCACTAACATAAAACGCATATAACAACAACAAAAAAAACAATGCTTGCTATTTTCACAATTACTTTTACCGTCATCAGAGTATTTTACAACAAAAGAGTGTGTTGCTATTTTATTTTTTGGTCAGAATTGGCGTTTTTGATTAAAATCCAGCAACACAACAGTTTTTTTTCTCAAAATGATTTGTTTTAGAAAATAAAAATTTTTCTTAACAAAAAGGAAAATACGTTTAGTAGTGCTGTTTTAAATTTTGCAACAATATATATATATATATATATATATATATATATATATATATATATATATATATATATATATATATATATATATATATATATATATATATATATATATACATATATATATATATATATATATATATATATATATATATATATATATATATATATATATATATATATATATATATATATATATATATATCATAGATGAGTTTTTTCCGGAAATTCCCGGAATTCCGGAAATTCACTTAAAACAACTTTAAATGTTTTTTGATATTAATTTGAAAAAAATTAATATATTTTTACATAAAATTTTACATACGACAACTTATGCATTTAAACAAATATGTTTTCTATAGTTAAGATTTTCACGAGATAAATTTTCGTAACAATTTTTTTTATTTGCTTTTTAATTCATTCAAACTTTTTCGAATATTAAAAAATTCCTTTTTGTAAAAAGTTAAATAATCTAAATTCTGTTTTAAAATAATCTAAATTCAGTTTGTCAGTTAAATGCGATCAATTTTTAATAAAATAATTATCCGGGATTTTACGGGATTATCATAGAAAAAAAATTTCCGGGATTTTCATAAAGTCAAATACTCATCTATGATATATATATATATATATATATATATATATATATATATATATATATATATATATATATATATATATATATATATATATATATATATATATATATATATATATATATACACACACACACCAAGTGTACCAGTAGTTTTCTAGCAAACTCTTTAAGTATGTAAGTATAGTTAAATAGCAAAAGAGTTTGCTAAAGGATGCAAATGTATATTCTTTATATGCTTTCTAATCAAGCAGTTATGTAAAATATTGAAGTTGACTCAATGATTAAATAAGTAAAATATTGAAGTTGACTCAATGATTATTTAATCTGTCTATTTCCAAATCTTTACACATTTTTATCTTTTTGTCTTAACAAAAACTAAACAAACTAAATCTGTTACCTAAAAAATATAATATAAAGGTATTATAAAATATTATAAATTATTAATATAAAAATATTATATTATTTATAATGATTGTAATAATATTACATTTATTATTATATAATTTAATATATTTACATAGAGTAAAATGGTAAATAATAGTAAAATAATTTCGCCACTTAAGAAATTTCGCCAATTGGTGTATATCTACTTTTATAACTATAACTTTACTCAGGAATAAGATTTTTTTATAATTCAAATTTCTATTAGAAGAAAAACAAATTTCTTATCAAATTGTGAAAAAAAAATCTTCCTTATGTTAAAACTTGATAAGAAAATTAATTGATAAAAATAATCTATTAAAAAAAAAGGAAATTGCTCATAAAAATCAAACTATTTCCATTTATAATTTAAATAACTAAAATATTTTAAATTTTTAAGAATCTTTGTATTTTTAAGAATCTTTGTATTGTTTTTTTTTTTTCTAATTTTGATTGGTTCTAAAGTTATTACGGAAATACTAAATATTTAGGCATTATAAGAATTTCGCCACCTATTTATAATAAATAAAAATGTGTTTTGATTGGATAGTTAATATTATATCCCTTCCTCTTGTTTTGGTAATTAATTTATGAGGCCATGTTGGTCTTAAAATAAATTCAAATTAATTAAATTAATTAATTATCAGCAACAATGCCGCAAAACTACAAGAGCTAATGGAAAAAGTCATTGCAAAAGTTAAAGCTGGCGAATTGAGTTGCAAGCGAGTTAGATTTCATTTATTTAACTGATTGTAAATGTGTTTTTATAATTCATAACTTAAAATAAAAAGTTTATGTTGAAAAAAACATAATATAATTATCAGGGGCGGATCCAGCATTTTTTGGTGTTTGAGATAGCTAACTTCCAGACATGGAGCAAACTCCAAACATTTATATGTTTATACTTATATCAAATAAGGATGGTTTGCAAAAAATTGCGATGATTGGAGCCTGGGAACAAAAAAGCCCCAAAATTTGAGACGCACCTGCCCCAAACGTGAGAGCAACAAGTTGATAAAATATTTTTTGTACTATTCTCAACAAGACTTATATTTATCAATAAATTTTAAATTCCATTGTAAAATATTTTAGCGCTCAAAAATTATGACCATATAAAAATTGTAACCCCCTCGAATTGAGGGGGATTCAAATTTTACATGGTCATAATTTTTGAACACTGAAATATTTTACAATGAAATTTAAAATTTATGGATAAATGTAAGTCTTGTTGAGAATAGTACAAAAAATATTTTATCAACTTGTTGCTCTCACGTTTGGGGCAGGTGCGTCTCAAATTTTGGGGCTTTTTTTGTTCCCAGGCTCCAATCATCGCAATTTTTTGCAAACCATCCTTATTTGATATAAGTATAAACATATAAATGTTTGGAGTTTGCTCCATGTCTGGAAGTTAGCTATCTCAAACACCAAAAAATGCTGGATCCGCCCCTGATTATATATATAATAATATATAATATATTTTTTGTAATAATGTTAATATAAATATAGTTATAAATGTAATATTATTACAATCATTATTATATTTTTACATAATTTATGTTGTTTTATAATATTTTTATATTATATTTATATGTTAATAATCATTATATAACAATATTGTTAAGAAAATGTTTATATTTAGTTAATAAATGCCTTAGCTGGCACATCACCCTGCATCTATTTTTATTATACCTTTTCTATTTTACTTGTATAATACAAATACGAAATAAATGAAAATATATTTGATATTCTGAAGTCAAAACTTTTACGCGTGCGCAATTGTGTATTTTTTTTTTTTTTTTTTTGTAACAAACATGGTTTAGATTGGCAAAATCGGAACAGTATTGTCGATCGTAAAACGATCGTGGCAAATCATTGGTACATGAACGGCATCACCGGCGCGGTGGTGCCGATCATAAGCCAAAGATAACCATATATGGACATAAATAGTTGCATAATTGCATAAATACTTTCATAAATAGTTTGCAGAGTATTTCTAACGCTAAACGTGGTCAAATAAATTTGTGACATTAATTAATAACGCGAATTATGTTTGGTTCAACGCTAGTTAGGGTATTTAACGTAGGGATATAAAGGACGTGTAGCAGAGATTTGTATGAGCCGGAGTTTAAAACTAAGATTTTCAATTCACAAGTTGTAAATAACTTGTTAAAAATGTTTTTTAAAAATCAACTTTTTAATACTTAATCAAAATTGTCTTGAATCAAAACTCTCAAGTTCGATATACCTTTAGACCTTCTTTATAATTTCCGATTTAAAGTTATTGAATTCGGAGAAAATCGAAACTTACGACCTTTTGGAGTTCTCTAACATCTTTAATAAATATTTTCCTATATCACGTTTTTTTTTTGCGAAACGTAAATTTTAAACCTTTACACCTCTGTTACCATCCCTAGTATATAGTATTCACTTAAATTGATATAGTAAAAAAAAAACATAAAATGATACACCGCTTAAATTTGATTTTAACCGCAATAATGTGATAATTGCGTTAGCAATATGATTATTACGGCTTTATTAATGTGTATAATACGTATTAATGTGATTATTACGGTTAGTTTCGAACAAAATATTTTTTGATTTTTAATATTTAAGTGATGATATTTAAAATTATTTTTTCTCTTTTAGAGGTCATAAAAATATTACTTTGACTCTTTCATGGAACTTGATACCAAATGCTGGTATTCTACCCAGAATCAGAGCTCCTGATCAATTCGTTTTTTCGTTTCCTGACACTTATGTCAACAGTTAATATTGGGTTGATAGTTTCAATTTGTGTGAATAAAAGTTGAAAGTTTTTGTTAGCGAATTTAAATTTTCTTAAAAATTTTCTCCTTTATTTACACTATTTAATATAAATATGGTTTGCTTTATTTTAAAACAATGTTTTTACAATATTGAACGTTTTCTTAATTCAAACGTGCTTTTTAAAGCTCGTACAGCCAGTTGAGTGTACTTAATATAAATTTAACTCGGGTTTATTTTTGATTTTTACAACGTTTTTTTTTTTTTTGAGCTACCAAAAATTTTCACAAATAAAATTGTCCAATAAACCTAATTGTTTTTTATATCTTTGTATTACCGGCGAGTCAACAGATTCGAATGGCTCAACTAAGAAACAGAATAACTAACATAATTTATAGTTTTGTTTGACTTTCATTAGAGCTTCTATTTAACAACGAATTTTGTTCAATTGCGAGTAGGTATGCATAAGTTTGAATCTAAATGCAATTACATTTCAAAAAACTAATGCAAAAGACTTTCTTAATGCAAACTGTTGTGCACTGAACAATTTTTCAAATACAGGCGCATAAGCGTGGTTGTTGTAAAAAAACCACGCTTATGCGTCCATAAGCGTGGTTGTAAAAACTTACGAAAAGACGCACTAAACTATTTACTAACCTTGCGTAAGAGCAAATTAGTTGGCGCAATGATTAGAGTTTTGGCTCAAAACCAATAATCCGAGTTTCAACCCCGATAAGCGACATTGGTAAGGAAGGAGGCGTGAATTTCCTAGTTAGATGTTCTTCTGCGGTGCTCTCTGTTAAGATCGTCATAATCATAACATCATACTCTCCCTAAGGAGTTGTTTGATTATTTTTATTTAGTATTAACTTAGTAGTATTTATTAGTATTTATATATTTACTCTGAACATGCACGATAAGAAAGAAGGCGTAAACTTCCTGGTTAAATGTACTTCCGCGGTGCTCTGTGACAAGACTGTTAGGTCTTCTTGGGGCACCTAAATAACAGGGGAAAAAAAAAATTGTTTAAAAAATTAAATTGTACAAGTTTTGTTTTTCAGTAAATTTAACCAATGAAAATTATTCCATTGACAAAATAGTCTGATTTTGGAACTTTTAACATATCTCTGCGCTATTACATCCTAAAAGGTTATTTTTGGGTCGAAAAATTCAATTTTACTTTAATTTTGTGACGCTTTGTACCGTTTTGACTAATCAAAGATGACGTCTAAAGTTGAAAAAATTAATCAAAAAAAAAAAAAAAAAACAGTACGTGTGCTATCCCATATAGCACGCATACATTGGGCCAACGTATGTATAATCATTGCAAATGTCGGCTAATTTGTGTAATGTGAATCTTTTGATTCAATGTTTTTAGATATCAAATGATATCAAATAAATGATTGATACCGACGCAATCAAAAACAGTTTAAGCAACTAAATAAGAATGTAGCAACAATATATATATATATATATATATATATATATATATATATATATATATATATATATATATATATATATATATATATATATATATATGTATATATAGATATATGTATATATACATATATATATATATATATATATATATATATATATATATATATATATATATATATATATATATATATATATATATATATATTGTTGCTACATTCTTATTTAATCAGAAATTATATCTATAAGAGTGCAGTCTTTGGTAGAAGGAGAACGATAAAGAACACAGAGAAAAGTGCTAAGCGTAAACACATGAAAAAATTGTCATCAAAATCAAACCTGATTTCACGTCAGATGGGTGAATTGAAACGTATGTGTTCCCCTAAGTCAAGTAAGTGATTATTAGAGACTTTGCAAATCAAAGGATAGTATACATAAACACTGAGACTGAAGAAGGAATGGCGGAATTTAAATTAGTCTTACTAAGAGCAACCAAGACTTGTAAATTTTATAAGAGGTAAGATTCAACTTATGGAAGGTTGCTTCGCAGACCACGAATATTTCAATATTGATAAAACAAATAGGAAACTTTTTTACCCAATATCCAGAACAAAATTTTTACCAAATACAATGCCCGACCTCTTCATTGATAATATAATACTAAAAAGGGAAAAAGTTACAAAACTTCTCGTAATTCTTGTGGACGAAAACTTATCCTGGAAACGACAAATCGATAATATCTTCTTGAAAGTATTGTATAATATTGAAAGTATTGGAATTGTATATAAAGTTCTACATATGTTAAATTAACAACAATTAAAACAACTATATTATTTGTTTATACATTGCCATTTAAATTATGCAAATATTGTATGGGGAAGCGCACACAAAACTAAGCTTAAATCTCTTTATCAGCGTCAGAAACACGAAGCTTAATTAATTTTGTAAATCATTTTTCAAATTCAAAACCACTTCTGAGAGAAACGAAAGCCCTAGTATACGAACTAAATGTTTATAATATTTTATGCTTCATTTTTAAGTGTAAAAATTGTTTATCTTCTGATGTATTTATAAACCTTTAGAATGTAAAACCCATAAATAAATACAATGTTCGCAATAAAAAAAATCTACAAGAACCTTTCTGCCAAATTAAATTTGAACAGCTAATTGTTTCTTATCGTGGTCCCTATTTATAGCATAAAATAGTTTTACCAAACTTTGACTTAAGGGGTAAGCAGAGTTATTCTGCTTACTCCTTACGTATTTGCCTCGGAGGCCTTCACGTCAGTAGATGGATGCATTTAACATCTGCCCGAGATGAGTATTTTTATCGAGACACTATCTCTAGCCTTTACTAGATCAAGATATGAGATTTTTAAATCGGTTTCTCCTAGCTTTTGCCTAAAAAGAAAACCCTACAAGGCAGCAGGGAATAGGGCAGGTAGTACAGGCTTACATGATACCAGTAGCTGGGTGATCCTGAACCTGACCTGGAGCAGTTAAAAGGAGTTACTTTACTAACAAAATACTAGAGATTGAGGTGAAGGTAGGTTTTATAGTTGAAGTCTCTAGTTATTTACTGAGCTCACAATGGATCAGAGAATCAAACAGAACTCAAACATCATAAACTAACTTACGGGTGAACCAACACCGCGCCAGAGGTTCAGACAGAAC